AGAACTCTATTTTTGGAGGTATTTTCAAATAGGTCCAGCACATGTAAATCTTAATGTTTTTCCGAAATATTCTGGTGCAAGTTTTAAAATATAATAGATTTTATAATTCCAATGGAAACACAGTACAGATTTTTTTTTGTATGGGGAGTGATTCAGTCTAATGTACATAATATGTAGGTACGTTAAACTTCTAAATTTTTTTTATACTTATATATTTATTTATTTTTTTTTGTATATATTTTTTTCAACTAATTCGCTAAAAGCGCCAAAAGCATAGACGCATTTATAATGTTTTTTTTCGGCACCGCAGAAAGCGACGTAGACAACGTTTTTGTGTTTACATTTTGCACGCCAATTTTTGAAATTTTTATTTTTTAATATTTCCATCTATTTGATTCTTTAGCTGCCCAATTACGTTATTTCATCCAAAAACGCACAACTAAAATTTCAGTCTTTGATTTTTATATACATAAATATGTACATATGTATGTATGTATGTACATACATAGTATTAATTAAATGTACACATCAGACAGTCAACGATTTTCCTTTGTTCACACGAGACTTGAAATGTGCTTTAAATTGCTTTTATGACTAATTAATTTATTTGCGTTTTATTAAGAAAATTTGCAAATGTAAGTTTGTGTACAGAAAAGAAATATTCAAAAATATTAAAATTCATAGCGTGTGTATACATATATGTATACATATTTATTCTCACGAGAACATGAGTGGATGAACGGCTGAAGCGTACGCGGAATACTTGCTTGTCTATATCAAGGTGCCGAAAGAGCTTTTAACTTTTCTTCAATTGCTAATAAATCACAAGATTTGATTAGCTCATTTGCACCGTTTACCGTTTATTGTTTTGCGTTTTTTTTATTACCATCATAGTTGATATTCATGTATTTAAACAAACAACAAATGCAAGTTTGTATACAAATTTTTTTCTGCTACATTCAAATATTGTACAAACATACACATGCACTCGTAATTAAAATTTTTACGTGAATACATAAAAAAAATTTTAAAATTTTTCTCAAGTACAACATAGAGATATACAACATTATATGTAAATCAGTGCAATGTCTCGTAAAATGCATGGCCATTTGTTGAAACGATTTGGCACTATTACTCGTTGGCGAGACCTTTGCTAATTAAATGTTAAAATTTGTCTGGGCATAAGAAGTTAAAATGTGAGACATCATTCCGCACTTAAAGGTAGTCGAAAAATAGGGGAAGCTGAAAGAAATTATCGTAAAAATTCAATACTAATTTTCAAATAATACAATTTTGTTTTTAGAATAAAAAGACATAATATCTTTCAATATAGTTTTATTTTAAACAAAAAAAAAAAAGAGAAACAAACTTGAAAAATTATCGCATAAATGTATACACACAATATATACGGTGGCGAGCATATAAATAAGGAAGATACATTTTGGCTGGTTTTCTTTTCTTTGTTTAAAATTTTTGTATTATTTTTTATGAAAATATATTTATTATCTAAAAAACCATGTAAATTAAAATTTCAAAACATTGAATTTTAACAAATGCTGATAAAAATTTTAAACATTTTAAACAGATATGCCCATCCAATTCCAAGTGCAAGTTTGAAGTAACTTGGACTTACCGTTGATTTTTGGCAATTTTTTTGTTCGCGTGTTTTCTTCCATACAAAGTATGTCCGACAATTTTTCTGTATGGAGAAAATGAGCAACGCCTTTCACAAAAAAAATTACAAAAAATCAACGGTACTTAAAATTTACACTTTGAATTGAATGGGCTACAAAACTGCACACTCGGAATGTTTCTAAGACATTTAAGCAAAAAACTCAACATTTTGATGAAACTTTGTCGAACTTCGCTAATTCTTAAACGACGTTTGAAATTTTATTTCATAAAAAATAGTAAACAATAAATATTTATTTTTTTTTGCCACTGTATCTACATACATATTTTTCATAACCATGCATTTTTAGAGGGAATTAGTATTATTTTTTATAATTTCACTAAATTCAAGTTAAAACCAATTCATAAAAAAAACTTAACAAACAATTATAAAAACCTAAAAAAAAATCAGCCAAGAGACACTTATACGTCCCGACTTTTAAAAAGTATTCAAAGGGACAATTTTCTCAAAATCGTTACTGTCCCGCCAAAATCGGTACGAATGGTCACCGTACTCATACCCCAGCAGACCTACTATCAAGCTAGCAAATTTTAATTAATCATTTGTAAACTGTGTTAATCTACATAATATATTTATCAGAAAAAAAATGCTTCGTTATCCTAGAAAAAAAAAACTTGCGTATAACAAACGACAACTAAAATTTTTAATTAAATTTTGCGCTTAAGAATAAGTATTTTGTGACCAGGCTGCAATATCATTAGCGCATATTTGTGATTCTCATATTTAATTTGAATACTTTGCATTTATTGCAAAACATTTTTGAATCTAATTTACAGAGATGTTTTGCAATTTGGTTATTATTTAGTACTTAAATTACTTTCAACATTTTTGTAATTTCGAAATAAATTATAAAATGTGAAAACTGTTGGAAAAGCAAAACGGGTAAATAGTACTACAGGATTTTCGAAATAATTTGCGAAAAAATTAAAAGAGTACAAATACATATATTTATGTATGTTTATTATACATATGTATGTATGCACCTCATTTCGTCATAGTTGGCCACCAAAAATATGAACAATTTATACATAGCTCGAAAAAATGTTGTGGTTTCATGTGGTTTTTGTTTACATATGCTCAATACACTATACATACATTCAAATATTGTACATCTCTAGATTTTATTAAATGTAGCGCCCTAAAGCGTCTGTTTGCCTGTCTGAACGCACTAAACTCAAAAACTTCCTAAATGATTTTTTACGGTTTTCATTAATTGACGGTGTGACTCTGGTGCTTTTCGTGTATAATTTATTAGGTTTTTTTTTGTAAATTGAAGGTATTTGGAAAAAAAAATGTCGATGCGTTCGTTCTATAGTAAAACAATTAAATAAGTATGTAGATACAACTTTAAACGATCGGTGTCAAACGAAAGGCACCTGCGTACATTTTATTCCAAGCTTATTTATGAGCTTAAAAATAAAAGAGTTAATTAAAACTCATTCAATAAGTCAGTAATGTTAAATATCACAATTCAACGCTATACTTATAAATAATTATAAATTAGACCTAACGCAATCTGTACGCTATCTATCCACGCATTCCTCTCCTTTCCAGAGGGGACATCTTTTTGATAAAGCCAAAAAAGAAATGTCGTCGCTAACATATCAAACTATCGAATGTGAAAGCAAAGGAGGCAGAGAAAAAAAACTTTTGTAAAAAATGCTGTTGTCCATTAGGAAAAAGTGTGGGACAGAATAAAAATCTGCGGTGACTTGTTCTCGAACCCAGGGCCTACTGAATGACAATTCACAGATCTACCTATTCGTAACGTCCCTGCAAACCATTTTTTCAGAGTATTCTGCATTGTAAAGAAATTTTAAAGAATTCGTTAAGATTTCATCCGATTTTTTGCCGAATTTTCTAAAATGAAATAAATTACGCACACTTCCATTCTTTTACGAAATTTCGGAAGAAAATCTGTGAAGCAACGAAAATAATGCTGCTATGTGAAGTATATCTTTCAGAATTTTTCCAGAATTTTCTTTATTTTTCGTACAGAAATTTCTTTACGAGTTCGTGTCAACCACTTCATATAATTTTCTTTGAAAATTCGTAAAAAAATCGTTACAGAAATGAGATGCTCCTAACGATTTCCTTAAGATTTCGGGAACTTTGGTTTGCAGGGGTAAAATAAATGTCTTTTCATTGTATTTGTGGGAATTTATCAAGAAGTGTGTTTGTACTGCTAAATAAGTCGCCGTAAAGAAATGAGCGCAAGGGTTCTAGTGGCTAAATTAACCCTCTAATGCCCGTTTTTAAAATAACGAACATAGATTTTGCAAATAAGCGTATTCGGAAAAATTTGGGCTTCTGATTTATAAAAAAAAAAAAATCGTTGAGCCAGTACAGCCATGGGTTTAACTGTGGCATGAGAACATTTAACTGAGACACTCATCAAGAAATCACTGCTCCAAAGCTCAACTGGCCTTTATTCACCCAAAACACACATTTCAAAATATTATTAGACAATTATATCTGCTAGAAACAAAAGATATTATTGCGTTAGAGAAACTAAAAGCCAATACAGAATGGATCTTTGATAATACAGCATTTTCCAGCTTCTACATACCGCACGCCGGTTGCAAAAGGGGCACAACTCAAAATTACACGTTTGTCGAAAATGCGAAAAACTACTTCTTAGCACAGGTTTTAGGTTTTTTTTTTTTAACAAATTATAATACAAGTTTGCTCCAGCTTTTGCTGAAAGGTAAATAAAAGCTCTGTGTACATTTTTAGCGTATAATTTCAAAACTGGCAAATTATTAGTTGTGCCTGTTTTGAAGACGGTATGCGATATGTACACGTACTTATATACATATCGTTACTTTAATTCACAAAGGCCCTAACCATCGCTTTTTTCGAAACTGCATTTTTCACAGATTTTGGTAGTACCAAAACTACGGAGTTACATGCCACTTTTTAAAAAGCCCTAACTGTTTTTGATACTCTTTTTATGATGTTTTTTGCTTCTCCTATGAAATAAAAAATCTGTTGGCTTTCGTGAATTAAGGTAACGATATATGTATTTATTTCAATAGAATTTTAGGCAGGTGGCAAATTGCGTGCCTTTGACCTGAAGCGGTAAAGTCTGCCTTCACAATGGTGGTTTAATCATTAAATTTTATGGAGTATTGTGAAAGATATGGAGCAGTCACCCAAATATGCCTTTGGGAAATATTGAGTCGGATAAAGCGACAGCCTTAGCCGTAAATCTCAAGCTCAACACTCCGTTCCTTTTTTATGTTTTAAAACCGTATCTAAAAAGTGTTGTGATATTTTTTCAATGCTCGTTTATTTGTATTTTCAGATGCTGGGAACAGCATTGCTAGGGAAACGTACCACAAAGGTGAGCGATGCTTTTATTTAACAATTGAACTTACAAATATCTAAAAAAAATTGCATATCGTTACGTAAAGGTGAAAAAGATGTTAAGTCTATTTTTTGGAAATTTTTTAAATAAATATATTGAGCTGGTCTCATAAAACAAAATTTTTAAATCTGAATTCATCTACGTGCAAATAAGAAAGCCATTAATCACCGAGTGCGATCTTTTTGACAAATATGGACTAGTTTGCATCAAACAACTAAATTTCTTGAAAAGTGGACTAAGCATCTTTTCACCCGCAATATGTAGTATTTATTTACATATCTACACAAATATTTGAAGTCATATTAAATTGCTCTTTTGATAATTTTTTTACAGTCTGTCAAAAAGAAACCATTCACCGAAGTAGAATTAAGAGGTAAGTTGAACTTTTTTCCTTGCTTTTTCTTTTCTCATGAAACATACAAGTATTATAAGGGATGCCGTGATTTTACTAAAAATTATTTTTATTTTAAAACAGTCAAGTATTTTTTCGAAATCGTTCAAACAAATACAAATTTCTATTGTCCGTTTCGAAGAAACCACCAATTGTTAAGCACTGAGACAAGATGTAATATGGATCGTATGAAACTATCCATAAAACCCTACTGTGAGAAATGTGGCACCGAATAAATTAGCAAAATGTGTTCGATCATGCAACTACGTACATACAAACATATACGCACTTTTTTTTTGCATAAAAACTTTACTATACTCGTAGTTTATGTTGCATTAATAGTTATGCCAAAAATATCTAATTTTCATCATTCTCTCCTTTATGTTAGAAACGAATATACTACTTATTCACACTAAACCTATACACATGTATTTTTAGATATCGACATACTTTGTAAACTTTCACTTTTATCTATTGGTGCGGACATAAAGATGTGTTGCAATAAACATCGTCGCAGTGCAAAAAATCTCTCTGCCGCAAGACTAAACTGTCGATGTTGCGTATACGCCACGTACTTACATACATTAACGTATGCTGACCGCTTTGTACAACTTTGAAGCTGTCAACCAACGGCTTGTCCAGCTCTTTGAAATATCTATGCCTAGCAAAATTTGTACACTCATACATACATACATTTATTTCTCTATTTATGTATGTACGTGCACATGTTGACCGATCGCGACATGCCGTTGATTACGTTTGCCTATTCGTTCGTGGCTGTGTATAATTTTAGATGTTGCACTAAATTTGTGCAAGTTGTGGTCGCTGTGTTTGTCGCATGTCGATTTTAGCTGGTTGGCTTGTTGTCGCAATAGTTATGGTGTCACGTGTTAAATTTAGCACTGCGATGCCTGCTGCAACTTTAACGGTGCATGGGTGTTGAACGTTTTGTATTTTTTTTACGATGAGAAGACGGAGACCCATGTATATGTGTTCATGCATATACACATAGATAAGTTGTGGTCATATTAAATACATATAGCTGCGAGTAAAATAATAGCAGTAAAAATCAAAATGATGCTGCTGGTAATTTATGTTTATTTATTTATTGTTAATAATTTTCGTTTAAAATTTTAATTAAATTTGGGTCGATCAGTACCAGAAACCGCATAAATAAAAATTTCAAATCTTGCACAAAGTTCACAAAAATTACTTAAACTTAAGAAAATTTTTATCGAAATTTCGATTTTTAAATTAGAGATTTCGTAGAAAGATTTCGAGTAAGCATTTTTGTAGCCCATTCAATTTTATTTTAATAAAGTGCAAATTTCAAGTCGCTTGATTTTGATGTTGATTTTTTAGATTTATTTATTTTTTTGTGGAGGGTGTGCGCATTTTCTTCCAAATAAAAATAAATTTGGTTCATGCGTTGTATGGAAGAAAATGCGCAATATTCTCGACGAAAAAAAACTGCATCTTTCAAATCTAAAAAATATTTTTTTTGCAATTTTATAAATTCAAACTAGGTTAGGTCGGGTTTGGTTAGACTGACCATCCAAACTAGATTTCAACCATATTTTTGTAGCTCCTAGTGGTTTAAATGAGTTGCCGTCGTTCGGAATTTGTTAAAAAACGCATTCAGTTCAGAACTAGTAATTTATTTTTGCACGGCATCTTTTAAAATATTTGCAAATGTAAATGGATATGTATTTTTGTACTAGTACATTTTTGTTTATCATTGGGACCAATCGTTGGCAAATATTTTACATATTTTATTTTATTTTTGCGATGCTACATTACGATAATCTATTTTAATTCTTGCACTTTTCGATGTTAACTTCGTCTGTCGTACGCAATTTTAGATCAACGACCTAAGCCATTTGGGCATTTATTTTTAGAATTTAACACATAGGTACTATGTATTTATTAGGGACGGTAATCATTATGAGTAAAATAATTTAAATCAGCATTTAATCATTATTTTTTTTACTCAACGAAAATAATCATTAGTTGATTTTTATTTTTTCGATCACAAATAATGATTATTTTATGATTTTTATTTTTCGCTCAGAGATGCCAATTATTATTGAGTTTTATCTTTTCACTTAAAAATAATGATTATTTATAAAATTGAAAAGACCATACAGACCCAAACTACTGTAATTTTCATCTGAAAATTCTGGGACTTATTCCTTTTCTTAGGGTGTCGCTACCTCTGAAAAGGTTACGCCGGAAATCACGTTGGTATAGCGTTTGAGTTTTTTGAACTATCATTATTCTTAAGTGAAAAAAAAATAAAACTCAATAATAATAATTATATTTGAGCGAAAAAATTAAAATCATAAAATAATCATTATTTTTTTTTTAAAAAAAATAAAATTCAAGTAAAAATAATTTCCTTTGAGCGAAAAAATAAAAGTGAAATATTAATTATTATTTTTAATCTTTATTGATTAAACTCGAAAAATAAAAATCATTGTGTAATTACATTAGGATGTAAGAACATAAGTACATTAGTATAGTAAAAATTTTTGTACGACGATTACAACTTGTTGATTTTTTTGGTTAAAGTTAAAAAAAAAATAATTATTTTCCGTCCCTGGTATTTATAAATTTGCACCAAATTCTAGAAAATTTTATTTCACCTACTTGTTTACATATGTACATAGATACACATACTATATAATTGAATGTGTGAACGTCCGTAAACCCATTCTATCTAAGCTTAGAATTTTTAAGTCTCTTCAATACTTTCTTTAATAACTATCTATCACTGAAATGTCTAATCAATTCAGGTTTCATAACAAAAACTTTGATTTGCTCTAAATGCTTGACTTGTTCTGCTATTGTGTCTCATTAACAGTTATTAATAGTTTTTTTTTTTACCAATCTAAACAGAGTTATACATAATTTAATTAAATTGGAGCAGCAACATTTCATTGAAACGCCAAAAGCTGATAACAATTTCGCAGTGAGCTACCTACATACATACATATGTACATATGTATGTAGTATGTGGGTATGTACAAAGAAGTAATATAATTCAAATCTAATAAAAAAATTACTTACAACAAATGGTACAACGTAGTTCAAAACACGTAAGTAGATGAAATATCTTGTTTTTTTTTTATATGTAGCTGTAGCCAAGCGCTTTGCATTAATTAAAAGTGCAAATAAGCAACCCTTCGTAGTCCACTCAGATAGCATTGTGTATTTTGGTGGCGCCTAGAGTTGTTTTTAAATGATAAATGTTGTAAAAAAAAAGCAAAAGATTAAAAATGTTAAATAAAGATGCTTTATGTCACCCACAAAATAGGATAAATGAACAACTGCGGTGTCATGCATAATCTTTAAAATTCTATTTACGAGTATTTATTCTCTGAAAAAGCAGACGCTCTGCTAAAATTTTTGCTATTTTTTAACCTGAATGTTGTTCAAAATGCTTACGTAAAATCATAGATATTAATATGATGTCTACACTGCGATCTAGGGTTATATTGTGCGCTCTGCTCATCACAACACTTTTGTTAAACTTTATTCTTCTTCTTATTTATTGGCGCTGTAACCGCCTAAACGATTTTGGTAAAGTCCAAAACAGCACGTCAGTCGTGTCAAGCCAAGTCTTTTCCCCTGGTCTTTCTTCTGTTACCAGTATTGCAATCCGCGTTGTATACCTTCAGAGCTAGAGCCATTATGACCATTATTCGTACTTGACCAAGCCAGCGTAGCCGCTATGGCCCACAAAAAGTTCAGAGGAGCTTTAGGGGGTAGAAGCGGAGACCACACTAGAGCTATGCTTCTCTCTATGCTTCTTTGGGATCTCTTGGTTATGGCATCATGTACTACTATAAGTTGTAAACTCCTTGGCCGAAGCACAGAAGCGGCAAAGATCGTTTTACCAAATATCTAGATTATGCAGCTGACCCCTCATATTTTGGTTGGATTAGGTTAACTGGAACGGTTATTTGCTATAAATGATCTTGATTTTCTGCCAAATCCTAGTGAACCCTATGATGTGCTTTTCCCCACGCTGGCTACGTTCTCGTAGAAGTGTTTCTATATAGGATGTGTTTCTACATAAATTGTTATGCACCTCGCCCTTGCCGGCCATATGGCCAATGGTCTAAATAGTATTCCGTTAATATTGCGGAAATAAGCCGAAAGTTGGGTTTTGAGATCCTTAGCGAAGTCATTGTTCCTCTTCCATCGAGCAGTGGCCAAAGTGAGCACTATACAATGAATTAGTTGACCTGCTGTTAATGGCTTTGTCTAGCCCTTTTCTCAACCAAACATATTGTAAGGATCCTTGGCCTTCTTGAATGTATGCATATCGTCTTGGTCGTTACCGACACAAGAGCCTTGAAAGCAGCTCGACTATCCACTACAGATGTGAGTTTTAATGGAACTTGGTCGAACATATTTACTTAGCTCATATCGCATAGCTCAGCCTGAAATACACTGAAATATTCTACGGCGCTATAGGCTTCTCTCAAAGATAGGTTTCCAATATCCATTTTAGCTCATCTGAGACTTTCTCTTTAAACGAAAAAAACTTTATGGCGGACCAATATGGAGGCAAAATAACTGTTCGACTTCGCTCTTAGAGAATAGTTTTATGAAGTTTATGCTTACCTAGGTCAGCACTATTTTCGCTGGAAAATGTTACGCATTGTCCCTATCCGTGTTTTACATTCGCTAAAGTTCTTCATTCTTCATTTTCTTAGCTTAAAATATTTACCATAATCTACATATATTTAGTGCTACCTCTAAATTAAATAAACACATTGTTTTTTTTTAATTTTTTACATTATTCCGAAATCAGAGCAACCTTCCCAAATTCAGAGTTTTTGCTTATTTTCCATTTTGTGCAAAAATTTCCGTAACCTAGATTACGGTTACACCCATGCGTCTCTCCCCTCAATGCAGCGTTACTCATATTCGCGTAAATACAAATTTTTATCTTTAATTATCACAAAATTGCT